GGTAAGCAATGGACTAATGCATAGCTTCCAGCTTGGGAATCCAGATGGTTGTGCCAGTGGCTGCCACCACAACTGTCTTCCAGCCAGGAGGAAGAAAGAAGATGGGTGGGGACTGCTCTGGTGCCAGCCCCAGTACCATGAACAAGGGGCGGAGTGGATACCGGTGTGCAGCTAGACATATGGAGAAGTACCTGACGCTAGAGCTGCTCTTTTGCCCCTCTTCAGTCCATATTCTAAATCTGAGCCAGAAAACAGCAGTGACAACAAAACCACACACACACACACACACACACACACACACACACACCTCACACCAAAACAAACAAAAAACAAAGTGAACCCTCAGAAATGAAATGAACAAACACCTCCCCTTTCATGAAAACAACCATCTTACTTATGCCCTTTCATTGCTGAAAACTCCTCCCTGGCTCCCCAGTACCCTCTGAGCCACAGGCAAGCTTTACAGTCTGGCCTTTAAGCCACAATTGGTTCTTTTCCTAGGACTACAGCCTTATCTTTTCCATTTTGCAACCTCACCTCAAAATCAGGCTGCTCCCTCCTCCCCACCTCAGAGGCATCCCTTTTGCCCAGCTCTTCTCACATTTGGGAGCTCCCTTCCTGGCCGGGTACTTCGCCTCACTGGAGAGGCCTCCTCTGCCCTCCTCAGGGTTTCCCCCAGCCTGTCTTTGCCCAGGTTCTGCAGTCCTGGCAGGCACCATCACCAACTCTCCTTTTGTTACTTTCTTCTTTCCATTGTCACTCCTGTCACACCCAGCCTCTGTCCCTCCATCTCTTTTCCCCTTTCTTTTCTCTGGTTACTGGAATATGAGTGGGCTGCATGGGGTGTGGTATGTTCAACTTCTGAGGCAGCTGAAGGGGATGGGAGGCAGAAAAGACACCGGAGACTGACCTCAGCAGTATGGACTGTTTATTTTAAAACAGCGAGGGTCAACACAGCAGGGAAGGAGTGTCTGCCAAAAGGGGAAGGGGTACTCGCAGTTTATATAGGAGAGTTGGAAAAGCTAATGAAGCTTCAGGGAGCTACATGCAAGTGTGAAATTCCTGGAATTGTTTGTTCAGACAAGGATGCTTTCTCTTTAGAAACTGCCTTTCCCAGCTATCAAGATGCAGGCCATAGTGGGAGACTGAGTTTGGCCATGGTGGTGAGGGGAAAGGGGCTGGAGTGTCAACATAGGGCCTTCAGGGCCTGACAGAGTTTGCTCATATTCTAACAAGGTGTACTGATGAACAGAATACTTGTTTTTACTTGCTATGGCCCTGACCTGTGACTCCATTATCCAGTAGCTTCAAACAAGGGCCACTCTGGGGGCTGAGGAGGTAGCTCAGTTGGTAGAGTTCTAGTGTAGCAGGTGTGAATGAAGCCCTGACTCTGATTCCCAGCACTGTGTGAAATAGGTAAGTTTCCCTCCCTTGGGATGCTCAGTCAGGAGCCCCAGCACTGTACAAACCAAGTGTGGTGGTGTAAGCTCATAATTCTAGACCTTGGGGTGCGGGCAGGAGAATCAGGAGTTCAGGGTCATCCCTCAGCTACAAAGTCTGAGCAAGGCTGGGCTACAAGAGGCACTGTTTCAAAAAAAGTGCTGGAGGTGGATGAGAGAGTAAGAGATGGAGAGAGAGGTAGAGACAAGCGAGGGGACTGAGAGAGACTTTTACTGGGTGCCTTGAGGCTTCTGCCCTGAGGAAATCTGGGGACCCTGTGGGAGAATCCTCTCAGCACCTGGGACAGCACCCAGCGTGCATTGCTTTCTTCTTGACAACCTCAACCTTGGCAAAGGGTGCCCAGCCAACCTGAGTCCACAAAGACATTTCATCTACCTCGGGTGTGTCTGGGAATCGGGTAGGAGGCCTTAAAAAGCAGGAGTTTGTTTGCATGTTTCTCTCTGTAATAACCTCTGGCCAGCCATGTTCCAGACTCACTATAGATCAGGTTCTTGTGAACACAAATGACTTGTCATCTTTCCAAATTGCATGGTCGGGCCTGGCAAACTGTGGCCCTCTGCTTGTTTTCTAACTAAAGCTCTATTGCAACACAGCCATGCTGTGTTTGTGCATTGTCTGTGGCAGAGTGGCTGCAATCCTAGGGCAGCTGAGAGGACTAACTGGCCTTCTCCATAGGATTCTGTCCTAGCAGGAGATGATTTTAGGCTGAGTGCACCCAAGGTTGTCCTCAGCTACATGGTGAGTTAGAGACCAGCCTGAACTACAAGACACCCAAACAAACAAACACAACAAAACAATAATAAAAAAGTCACCATTGTGGCTTATTCCACAACTTTCTTTTTTCTTAGTTAGGGGAACTATTTTAATGAAACACCATGACTAAAATAAATTGTGGAGGAAAGGGTTTATTTGGCTTACACTTCCATATCAGTGTTCATCATCACAGGAACTCAGGACAGGAACTCAAACACAGCAGGAACCTGGAGACAGGAGCTGATGCAGAGGCCATGAAGGAGTGCTGCTTACTGGCTTGCTCTCAACATTCTTATCTTCCAAGCTTCTACAGAATATCCCACTAAGCTCTCAACACTCAAAGGCCTTTTTAGCTCCGAGTTCCAAGGTCCTTTCAACAATCTTTTCCAAAACACATGGCCAGGTCTGTCACAGCAATACCCAATTCCAGATGCCACTTTTTTCTTTTTCAAGACAAGTTTTCTTTGTGTAGCCTTGGCTGTCCAGGAGTAGCTTTGTAGACCAGGCTGGCTTCAAACTCGCCGAGATCCATCTGCCTCTGCCTCCTGGAGTGCTGGGTTTACAGACATGCACTACCACGTCTGGCTCAGATGTCATTTTTTCAATCATGCTCTTTTCAAGTCCACTTCACTGGTATTGGAGCACATTTCTTCAGGATTCTGTCATACACTGAAGACTAGCTTCATGGACTGAACAGCTATCGGATTCCTTGGCCATTGGTAGACTGCCATCGTTAGACTAGCTGGACCACGGCCTGTAATCTATTCTAATAAACCTCCCAACTTCCTTTTTGTCATGGTGTTTTACCATAGCAATAGTAACCCTAACTAAGGACACCTCCTCACATTTGTGGTAAGTGCAGGAACTCAGATGTATTACAAACACTCTTTTTAGGCCAGGTGTGGTGGCACATGCCTTTAATTCCAGCACTTGGGAGGCAGAAGCAGGTGAATCTCTGTGAGTTCGAGGCCAGCCTTGTCTACAAAGCAAGTTCAGGAAAGCCAGGGCTGTTACACAGAGAAATCCTGTCTAAAAAAAAAAAAAAAAAAAAAAAAAAAAAAAAAAAAAAAAAAAAAAATCAACGAAACAAAACAAAAAACCCCAAGCTTACTCTTTTTAATAACATTTATTGACTTATTTTATGTGTGTGGATGGTTATCTGCTTGAATGTCTGGGTGCTATTTTTGGGCAGTACTTGTGACTGGGAAGAGGGAGTCTGACCCCTTGAAACTGGAGGTAGATGTGATTGTGAGCTGCCATGTGGGTGTTGGAAACTGAACTTGGTGCCTTCTGCAAGAGCAGCAAGGGCTCTTAACCACTGAACCACCCTTCCAGCCCAAGGGGAATGACCTGTTAATGGTGACATCAGGAGAACTGTGGGGACAAGGACTGAAGTCAGTAACTGTGTCTAGAACACAAGACGTGGTCAATAATTGTTGCAAGACGTTGTGAGGGAGCATTCCCAAATGCACATTAAGGCTGCCGGCTCTTTCTTCTCTATTTGGAATGGCCAGTCATCCCCTAAGCAGAGCTTCTTACAGAGGGAATGTCTGGGTCAAGTGATGCATGGACGGTCCTGTGGCAGATACCTGACAAGACTTTCAGGAACCCTGTATAATTGACTCCCGCCAACGGGGAGTTTCTCCCAGTCCTTGCCGACACCGAATACTTACCGTAATTTTCAATGTTGCCAATCTGATAATCAAAAAGTATTATCTCACTGATGCCTTCATGAAGACAAATCAGATATCAAGTGTGCTGGGAAGTTTTCTAGCCACAGGATGCATTTGCTCACAATCTATAGTTTTTTTTTCTTCCTAACTTTTTTCCTTCTGTCCATCTTCCTTCCTTTTCCCCTGCTCTTCTAGACACTAGTGCTTTAGTATGTTTTAAACATTTATCTATCTATCTATCTATCTATCTATCTATCTATCTATCTATCTATCTATCTATCTATCGTGTCTAAATGTGTGGGAGTGGGCACATTCGTGCCATGGTCAGGGGACAGCGTTGGGAGTTAGTTTTATCTTTCCACCATGTTCTAGGAATGAAACACAAGTTGCAAAGCTTGTGTGACAAATGCGTTTACCCCATGAGCCATCCCACTGGGCAGTATGTGTCCTATTTTAAAGCCAGCACCCGTCTTTTCCTTCAGATCCAGGGGTCCAGGTTCCATCCTCCTCCCTCAGAATCAGGAATCAGTACTTCACCTTCTTTCCTCAATCCCCATAGGTCCAGGCCCCAGCCTTCTTCCTTCTTCCACAAAACCTAACTCATGGTTCATTTTACCGGGGTTCACTGTCTGGAAACGGTTACGCTTGGTACCAAACTGTTCCCCCCCCCCCC